AATAAAAATAAACATGTTGTGAAGATGTGATTGAAAAGAATCAAAAACCTGGTAGACATTAGGATAGAAAGAATATCTAAAACATTTGGTGAGGAGTATGATTTTTTTAAAAACCCAAACCAGTCATCTGTAACTGTAGCAAAGGGTAGATATTCACCAGCCTACAGCTTAAGTACGATAATTTGGACAAAATTATTGCAAAGACTTCAAACCATCAAATCCCAAGTTGGTTTGGATATCAATAAGCTCGTTAAAGCCATTTACTGAAACCATTGTGAGACTAAATTTCAACAAAATATACCTTACTGCTGTTTCTGAAAGACAGGATTCAACATACGTCCATGTCAATTTGTTTTTATTAATTCCACTGTTCCTGTATAGTCTGGAAAGTATTATGAGAACCCTTTCAAATCTTTCAGTATGACTAACAATAGAAGTAAAGAGGATTATGAGTTCTATTCAGTTCTACCTCATGGAAAGTTATAACAAAGTGGAGACTAGGTATGCCTTTTCAGTCACCTACAAGATACCTAATAGGATGCCACGAACTACTGAGGCTTCTGCAGTAAAAATCATGATATTTGAGCTTTATGCATAATAAAATCTCATAAATTCTCTTGTCCCTCCATGAACATCAACTAAAATGGCGACCACATAGTTCAGGCACACAAAGACTCCACTAACTTGTGTGTATATTCTCCATAGACCTGAGTTTACATTTTTGATTTTTATGTCCTTTTTTCATGTGACCGCTACAGTTACTCACTATTCATTGCGATTTTTAATCTTGATTCAATCCTAATTGACAGTTGGTATACCTTGTAATCTCTGTAGCCATAAACTAACAAGAATCTTGTGAAACAAACTTTTATAGCTGTAACCATAAAATCAGTTAGTTGTACTGATAAGCGTTAATAGGTTTCGTTTAGTAAGTTATTAGTACTAGAGGGTTTCACTTAAATAGTACACCATTAGGCTAACTTGCATCAGAATTACTTTCTCAGTACTAGTCGTAGTCATTCATAGTTGCATATAATTTACAACTCACATAATTCGTACCGTAAACTCCCTATCCTCCTGTTTTAAGACAATTACCGCGGATGCATAGCCTTGCTATGTACACAAATATCTGCCAATAAAAACTTCATTTCATGCTAATGGATGTCGTATATCTTGCACAAATAACACCAACAAAAAATGTATTAAATGCTAGGTAATCGCATAGTGAAATATAATAAATAGACAAATATATTCCAACTAAATTAAAAGTATCTTAGTGTTATTTAAACAAATCGATGGTAACAATCATACTTGGATTTGCAATTATGAATGCCAATTAGAACAAACCAATAAATGACAATCTGACCAAAAAGAATTGTTTATTTGGTTAGTCGGTTTCTAAAAATTTTGCATTTATTTTAGTTAACACTATGCTATGAAGGGTTTACAGTATGCTATGAGAGAATGTACAGTTCAATTCTGTACAAAAAGTGGATTTTTATTTAGAAAAAGTGAAAAAAAAGCCCATACGAATGATGAATAATACCAAAAAATGTAATATTTGTGTCTAAAGTGTGTGAAAATATAAGGACGTTAGAAACCAATTTACTGTGCAGACCACATATCCTCTGAAAATCAATGGTGTTTGAAAAATACAACGAAGATGAATAGCTGGTACATTATTGAAACTATGCTTTTATGTTGTTGTTGAAGATGATAGCTGCTTTAACAAATTTGCTGATTATCAGCGTTTTTATGGTCTGCCATATGGGTAGTGTTAATCACAGAAATATAAAATTACGAAACTTAAGTGTAAGGTCACCAGAACTGCTGAATATTCCAACCAGTAAACAGGTACAAAATTTAGTATTGCCAAATGCCTCGTCACCAATATTAAGTAAAACACTTAAGGGTCAAATCGGACCAGCAGTTAACTTACCCAACTAAACCTCTTTACTTAATTCCAACAATACATACTCAGTTTCTCTACTGCACACGTGCATCATTTAGAAGACCATCTAACATAAATAGAAATACATGTTTGTCTATGAATTATGTTTATCATTCTGCTCACACACTTCATACGAAACACAGGCTAGATTATTGCAACACTACTATCGAGAGGCAGATGAAATGCATTAAAGTGTGCAGATTTTGAAGATAACTCCGACGTTATTTACTTCTGAGAAGATAAATATACTAATCAATCCAACTAATTGAACATCGCGATCTATGAGAGCATCTCAGTCAGTAAAAAGTAGATGAACAGACTATCTACAATTAAGATATTTGGAGTAATGAGGCTTCAGAACTGATGAAATTCTTCTTATGGAATGCAAACATTTACCACCAACCATTTTGTTAAAAACAACGATCATTTGACACTCTAAAGCATTTGCATGCTGTGCTTGAGATACTCCACGAATTCTAGCATACATAATGGTAATAAGTGTATTTATTGCTTCCAGATCTTCAGTAGTCGGTTATCTTATGTTACCTAGACATAGAAACTTGCTTTAAGCTATTCAAACCACAAAAATCCACCAAGCGAAATAAAATCTCGTTATGGAGGAGTTTATTTTCTGAAGTTTCAATAGGAAATCATAATTTCTCAGGTAAATCAAGTTGAGAGTAAGACCAAATATCGGCTAAACCCACGGTGAAATACGCACAGTAACAAGAATTGACAGTAGATGAATATTGTCGACCAATGACATGTGGATCACCGAAATCTTAAACGTAGATGTACAGCTTTTGATCAAAAAAAATATTGAGAATAAAATCTGACGAAGAAACTTAAATTTTTAGCGCATGAAAACGAATACCAACCGACAAATACGAAGACAGAGTACCCACCAAGATATTTTAACAAATTTCTTCAGTGGGGAAGATAATCAAATTGTGCTCAAAATTGAGGAAGAACATGTAAATTTATTCCAGAAAAAAGATGCTCATTGAAACTCAGAATGGGAACACGCTTCACATCTATTAGGTAAGGCCTTACGACACTACTCGATTTCTCGTGTCGAAATGGTTAAAGCAGGGTCCACAATCATAGCTCATTGGTCTAAAGTTTACACTATTGGTTCTTACCACACTAACCTAGTAGTTGAGTACTGGATGCGTCAAGTTAATTTCATGCTGCTCTCACTGGATAAACTCATATAGAGAAACGAAGGTATGTTCATGATATGAAAACTGGCCTTTGTATCTTTATTTTGACAGTGTGTAAACTGCAGCATGTTTGAAATAAATACTTTCAACGTTTTTCACAGAAGTCGGGTCCCAAGCCTTTTCTCGGTACCCAATATATCTGTGAAACTATCTGGTCAAATCTTGACCAGGATTCACATAAAATCCGAAAACTAAGCCTAGAACTTTTAATTTCAAACATGTCCAGTTGTGTAACATGCGCATGCCTTGACTCTAAACAAAAATGAGCGTTATTTGTTCTAATATCTTCACTTTGATATCATTTTGTACTAATAGAAGCAGTATGGATAGCATCTATCTTTCGGAGATGGTTTTCATGACTACTTAACACACATACAATTCAAAAATAATTCCAAATTACAATAAAGAATTAACCACTTGGAATGATTTTTACATCCATGCAATGATCACTAATGACTTGTACCAACAATGGTTTCTGAAAGAGCTAAAAGATGCATGAAAACTCATAAAAGTTTATACAAAAACGATTATTTATTATACTTTATCAATGCATAAAATAACAAAGTGATAAAGTAGGATTTCTATTAGTTCTAGTGAGAAGCCATTCTTGGACTGCAAAAGCCTTGTTTAACATTAGATAAAAAGTATGATAAAATCATGAAGAGTTATGGCAGAAATAAACACCTATTCAGACATCTTATGACCACTACTGGCTTAGTAGAACTGAACTAATGGGTAAGTTACTTTCAAATATCATTTTGAATTTTTGTATAATTCTTTCTTACAGTGGATTAAGAACAATGTGGTGGCCTTATTTGATACAGAGATGAACCAATAGATCAATGCAAAAATAAAAGTAATTGCTGAACAAGCGAAACGATGCGTTCAAAGTTATACATTTACGTACTCGGATAAATAGATTTTTTTAAATTTCAGGTGATTAAGTATATCCAGCATATTTTCCATTTCATTTTACAAAATCTCAACAAAATGACTAAGTCAATTTTAAGATATAAAGCATACGTGATAAATACAAGTTACAGTTTGTATAACCAGGTAGATTTTTGAAACGTAAAACTGAAATCATTTACATGACTTTGATGTTTAAAAATCTTGATCACATGAATTAAACATATAGAGAGTTATACATCTATTACAAATTATGCCACAACCATGCTGTAACCCTAACAGTGATCTATTTGAGATGGAAAAGGCGATTTGTGAGGCTACACTTTTTCAACCAAAGGTGTTTACTGACTTTTTTCTACCCGGTTTCTATTTATCCTTCAGTAGTGCATACATTGAAAGGTAAAGTACAAAAGACTTTACAGTGGGCATTTAGCAAGAGATAGAAACAAATAACAGAATTTGTATTCCGTTGTTTTTTATCACTTCGAAATCTTCGGTATCAGGCTTATTCTACTTATGCTTTAGCTGGTTAAAAAAAATGACGGTTTATGAATTTTTACTTTGAAGTGAATCACACATGCATTACAATGGTATTTTGCGGACCAAGAAAGCTTTTTAAATTACATCTAAGAAACAGTTAGATACAATGGTCAAAAAATTGAATATGAACTTTTCACACACAAATCAACGCCAGTTAAACCCGTTTAAAGCCTCCATTGAGCTATTATCAAGTCGTTTTCTCTACTTTTTGTCCTACAGTATTTCTTGTGAAATAATATGTATTATCTAAGCCATAAGTAACAGAAAATTCCGTTACAACCTCTTTCATGTCGAAAACAAAGAGCAAAACAGATTTTTGAACAACTAAACTGAACGAGATGTTCACTGAACTCATTTAAAGTTGAAAATCATCTTACCATTTGGTTGAATATATACATTGCTGTTTGAACTTGTGAAGCTGGTAAATAAAATTGTTGCCACAAATGGCAAACAGAAAAAAGAACAGAAGCATTTGTATGTGCTTCGTAATTCAAATGATTTCGGCGATCCACACTTAAAACTTGTATCAACTAGCAAGGATACAAACAAAGGGTTCATAACTTTTGAGTTCGAAATTAGAAGAGTGCGTATGATCTCTAGACAAACATATAGACTGAACGAATGGAATCGAGGATTACTGAATACAAATGAGGTCCAAAATAGATATTTGTATTGTCAACTGAGACCTATTTGAGAGTAATGAAAATACATATTTAGAAACATTTTTCTTTAAAAAGAAGGGCTATAAAAAAGCCCACATAATGGTGCATTTAGACTGCTACAAACTTTAACAGTATATGTATACAGAATTAACAACAACAAAGAAAAACGACTTATAAGGCCAAAGGTTAACAGGTAAGATGACATATTAAAGAATCTAATGAAAAGAAAAAGGTAATTATATTTGTCACTGCAGTACAATACCAGATAAACTAACCTATTCCAAACATACAAGTTAAAACCGGTCCATTTACTAACTTAAGATGTCACGGTGCAACAATCTAGAACTCTTTTAAACTTACTCCAATGAAGACTTTATTTTAAGGAACGATATGAGTTGATTTACATAAATTTCTCATACATTGGATGGAAATTCTTTAATTAGCGGATTTTCACAGCACCATCCACACTATTAGGTATGTAGTAAATGATGAAAAGGTTATGAACACTACGGCTGTCCATCACCTTAGTTGTTAACATATCTGGTCCCATTCATTTGTCGGTTACTGGGACAATGACCAAGTTGGTAAACTCTGCTCTCTTCATAACAACCTGTTGGTGAATAGGATTATAACACAGAAACTTAATACATGACACTTAGTGTTATCTAACAGTTACAGAACTTTGCTTGATTACTTTCCATCTGTAAGTGGATTCACTCGATTATACTATTATCACTATTAATCAATTTACTGATAGTCACATTATTACAAATAATTTTGCTGACTACTATGAGAGAGGATTTCAATATCATGCAATTTTGATTTACTGCTGCTGATGGCCATAGTGACAAGTAAATTTCTTGGTTCATCTCATCTTTCATGATCAATCGTCTTGTTTAAAGCATAAAATCGCTCGATATTAACAACAGCATCGTAATTTCAGAGTATTCAGCTCATTCCATACAAATTACAATTATCCCTCAACTTTTGCTGAAGGTGAAAAACCCACAGTAACCGAAACACAGGTGCCGGTTGAAATATTTAGGACGAAAGGTCTTTCAAAGTCAGCTTCATCTTTATTCATAACAGCTACTCAAAAAATAACTTAAAGAAGTCAATCTAAATAGAACTCCAAATCATAGGATCCAAAGGCATTAGATACCGAAATAAAACGAAAAGAAAACCATAAGGAAGTAGGGAGGCCTTGAATGTGAACAAGGGTATCGTGATCAAACCTCCCTGCTTTATCACGTTCTTTGTCAATAAAAATAATTAGCTCCATTAAAAGTATTCTTTTACGATATACTTTAACAGCAAAGGTGCCACGCAATGTATATATATATATATATATATATATATACTGTACAGCTTTGGCAAGAGATTTCTAAAACACTAAATATTCCACATAACTCAACGATAACCAGGACTGAGTGGCATTAAAAGCTTACGGCAAAGACAACTGGTGTCATGTGCAAATAATTAACTTCACACATGTGCATTGGATATTGGATACTGCATATCGGATTGATTAAAATAAAAATACTTATAAAATGATTTGGAAATGATACATAATTACAGGCTGAACCAGAGTAACTCACCTAGTAAGTAACCACTTTTGTCAGAAACTTATATTAATATACAGAATTATACTGCTATAAAACAAAAACCAGTTTTATAAAGAAAGAAGACCAAGGTCATTCTTTTTAAATAGGTCAGGCAATATATGAGCCTTCTTATTCCGATAGATCAAGTATTAAAACAACATCAGCAAAGAAAGTCGACTACAAATGAATCATACTATTCCATGCTGAATGAAGACATTAGCAGCAAAAATAATGTCAAAATCCAGTGGATTTAATATTCATATATTGCCTTGTCAAATGGTCAACTATGGTTGGAAAAGCTATAGGAGATGCTACTGAATGTCTATCTTCCATGTTTTTACTGGTTTAACCGGTAGTTGTAGTGGTTGATAACTTAAAAGATAACCAGCTGAAAAAACTGAACAACATGTCAATGTCAATTTTGTCTGTTTGTGTAACAGAAAACATGATCTGAATATCTCTCCTGATCACCCTATCTAACAGTATCGTCATTTACTTGAATATTTTTACCCTCGTTATGGATTTTGTGCCTTTTACCCTAGCAAATGTAATGTTATTTGATTGTTTGGCCGTCTTCTTTGACTTCGCACTCATTATTTGCCTCTGTATAGCTGAGACTTATCATGAATGCTTCACGTTTCTATTATGTGGCGCTGGACTGTTGACAACGAGAAGTTGTCTTGCTGCGCCGGACATTTTTGTTTTGGTTCAACTTACAGTTGTGCCATGGTTTGATTGGTTATCTTTTGACTGGCTACTGGAAACGTTCATTGGTTGATTTGATTCTGGCAGACAAATTTTTTGATCTTTTGTCGAGAATATTCTTATTGACTCTCAGGTATCCAACAACTATATTTGTTTGACCGGTTTTTACTGTATAGTACGTATTCGTGCCCAAGAACGCCCGGACTGTATAGTTACCCGACAGCACTGTTGAGGTATCTTAGTAATTTTGGTATAACTTACGGTTGCTTTGATTTTGTTACGAATGGACGGCTGGTTTACTACAAGACATGTTTTGACATTGCTGATCCAACCCTTGACTATGCGACACTCGCGGAAGTTCTGAAGCCATACAGCAGAACTCAGGAACATGTTAAGCTAGCTTTAGTTGGCACCGCCTAGTTGTTTCCTCCGTTCAGGTCAAGATTATTTAATTTTAGACGATGCATGTTTGCTCGAGCCGATAAAGTGCATCGACAACCAGTCTTTGCCATGGTGAGTCTGACGACAAGTTTCAACGAGTAGGCGTTATGCTTACATCCATTTTACCATGTCTATGATTTACGGTCTTATTCGATATCGCGTTACGACTATATGCCAAACGCATCTGATGATAAAGTTGTTTGTGTGGGATGAGAATCAATAATAAACCAATTACCTACTGTCAATGTTTTTAAGTGTGTAAATTACGTGCTGTCATATATTACTACCAATCTGAGCATTGGCATTCAAAATTATGGACTGTGATTCAAATCGATACCTTACATTTCTGAAGGCGAAGAGGTGAACCGTCAAACATTTGATAGGTACGGCCATGATCAAATTTTCGGAGGCTTCAAAGATCAGCCACGTGTCAGATTATTGTGGGTACATTTTATAACAAAGAGAATAAGATAGCAAGTCGGGGCATTAAAGCTAAAAATCCACCTTTACCAATGGCTTTTGCAGCCACATGTCCCTGATTTTGAACTTTAGTCAAGCAAAATGACAAAAATGAGCCACCTGATGTCTGTCACAGTTGGAAGTAAGTCTGCGGTAATCGATCTGATGTTGAGGACATAACTAAAGATTTTACAGAATGAGCATGTTCTCTCCATTCTGAATTCAAACCTACTGCTTCGAATCACCGCAGGAAGGCAAAGTTTTGATGACACTCAAGGAAAAAAATACCGCAAATTTGGAACAGCACGCTCGTCGACAGCTAACCGTCAGGCTATCGGTGAAGACAGTGGAGTTCAATCAGACGTCACACAAATGTTGGTGCTCCAGTGCTGAAAACCGATAGAACAGTGACGAACCGCTTCCCACAAACCAGTTTGGAAAAAGACTTGAAAGCAAACAATATTGCTTTCAAATGGTTCCTGTCAGGCTTCAATCTGATACACACTTTTCCCCTCATGAAACATTTAATAAATCATGATAATTTCATCAGTCTTTAGTGACGAGGGAGCAAAACATACAGACGGATGTGTCCAGGTGGTGTTAATAGTTACCATGCGCAGACCTTTCTACACACAAAGACGGTGGCTGTAGTACGCATTTGCACCCGGGAACGTTTTGGACTGTATAGTTACCCAAAGGCACTGTTGAGGTATTTTTGTAATCTTGACATAACTTATTGTTGCTTTGATAGTACCACAGATTTTGTTACGAATCGACCATTGAATTACTACAAACGTGTTTCGATATTTTGATCCAACCTTTGACTGTGCGTCACTCGCGGAAGTTAGGAAGCTATACAGTAGAACGCAGGAACTAGTCAGATTCACGTCAGTTGGTACCGCTTAGTTACATTACTGCGTTCAGGCCAAGATTATTGGATTCTGGCCGCTACACTGGATAGGCGTTCTCCAAGAGAAGCAAGACAACTGGATTGTATCTCGCAGTTTTCTACGGATATCCAGTTTGTCAAGTGTAATGCTAACGTTGTAGCCGATTCCCTGTCTCGCATTGACGTGAACCTTCTAACACGGCAACTGGACATCGAGCTCGAAAATATGGCAACATTACAGAAAACCGACCCAGATCTCCTGACTAACCAAATGAATTCAACTCTTACTCTCGAAGATTTTCCAATACCCCTATCCGATGCTACCATTGTGCGTGATACACCTACTGGTCTGCACCGCCCTTCTGTTCCATTAGCCGGTCGAAAAGCTGTATTTCAGCACTTACACTCTCCATCGCATCCAGGTGTGCGCGCCGCGGTTCGACCGATTACTCAACGCTTCGTGTGGCCTAACACGAATGCGGATATCAGAAGATGGGCACCGGAATGCTTGCAGTGTCAACTTTCAAAAGTGCACCGACATGCGATTACTACACCTCAACAATTCCAACTACCGGACCGGCGTTTCCAGCATGTTCGTATAGACCTTGTGGGACCTCTTCCAGCATCCGGAGGATTCATTTACATACTAACAGCTGTCGACCGTTTTACTAGATGGACAATCGCTTGATATTTCAGCTGAGAATATCGCATCTGCTTTCCCTGACCGCTGGGTTTCAAACTTTGATGTACCTTCTACACACACTTGTGACAGAGGTCCACAATTCCAGTCGAATTTTTTCCAAGAGTTCATTTGACTCCTCGGAATACATCACATACGAACCACAGCTTATCATCCAGCAGCGAATGGAGAGATTTCACCCCAACTAAAAAGCTCGCTGATGGTACTGCGTGACAGCACTAATTGGAGTGAACTCCTTCCAATCATCCTACTTGGAATCCGATCCACTGTGAAAGAAGACTTAGGACGCATCCCGGCTCAGCTAGTATACGGAACCAACTTTGTCTTGCCAAGACAGCTCCTAAACCCACGGAATTTATCGGAAACCAACATCCCTACGTCTTCTGAAAACCTCGCTCAACGTATGTCACTCATACAGCCCACACCACCTCGCGCTAGCGGCCGTCGTGAACGACTGGATAGGCAGCTGACGTCCTGTAAGTTTGTTTTCCTTCGGATGGATGGGGCTAGAAAAGATTTACAGCCTCCATATGAAGGACCCTTCCCAGTGATTAGTCGAGCTGAGAAATACTTTACCGTAAACAAACAGGGTAAGCAAGAGACGGTAGCCCTCGATCGACTCAAATCAGTTCTTGTAGCTGGTGAAGCCGAAATGAAACAACCAACACTTTGGGGTAAAACTTCATCTGCCACCATGCCTCCGCCGATCCTGCCCCGTGAGCAGACTTCTCTCATTCCTCCGCGCAGCATACGCAGCGGCCGGCAAGTAGCCAAACCTGAACGTTATGTACATTTCATTGAATGATACTTCCCCCATTTCCGATTAGAAACACCAAATTATCTTACGTCAAATTTATTCATAAATACATATGCCGATCAGTACTATTATTATTTTTTTAAATATATACAACGTATATTTCTCGCATTTCTCACCTCTTTTATTATACCAATAGATATCACCTTTTACTGTTACTCATAAATCATTCAGGAAATACGTATATTCTCGAACCATTATAAGCATTACTTATAAATATTCGCATTAATTTTGTTTCCTCACAAATGGACGTCTGAACAACAGCCTCAGGCACATGTAATTTTTATCTACCTATGCATACTTTCCGGCTTGGCCCTGAGTCCAAATTTTCTTTTTCTCGTTCTACCAGACAGTTCCTCCGGATATTTAACGCGGGGAGCTGTGTGGAGACTGCATACAATTGTGTATAAACCACTTCAACTGTAAGCAGTATTTCCTTTCCATCGTTTCTTTTACACATTCTGTACATTATTCCTAATACTTGTAAAAACGAATGTTGTTTATATGTACACTTTTTTGGTTGTGGCGGCAATTGCATATTTTGCTGCTGCTAATCGTGGAAACATAATATGCTTCTAACCATCCCGACTTCTACCTCCGTGACTATTGACTGTCGTGCATAATAACTGATCGTCTTGGGAATTTACAGGACTTCTCATCCTACTTCCATATATTACGACGATCAAGCCGACCGACGACCACAGCGGAGAGACGACAAATATCGCCTTCTGATCTCTGCAGTATCCCAAGATTGTGGTGGACGATACCGAAGAAATAACCTCCAAGTAGCCCGTGATTATGTATAACATTGACAATACTATTTTGTGCTATAACGTATAACTTTTCACACACGTGTATCATAAAATCCATTTTTCTTGTAAATTATACGTAGTTTGTCACTTTGGTTTACTTGACATTCTTTGGGTCCACTACGGCCGTTTTCACGTGTATTGACATGCTTGCTGGTCTCTTTTATAGTAAGTTAATCCTACACTTCGATAGTTATGAAGCTGTAGTCCAGTGAACATTTTTATTTCCGCTTGTTGTACTTAAGTACTCTTTAGGTGAACATGAACATGGACATTTTCAGCCATGGTCTGTTCCTTAAGTAACACAGTCGGCCAAAAAAGGGGAAATGGGGGGATGGATTGTTAAAAATGGAAACAATGGGCAAAAGTAGACTGATGGGAAAGCTGTTTCTGAAAGGCTTGAAATGCTGGGAAAAAGGGGGAACGTTGACGATAATCGACGTTATTGGGGAAACCATAGTGAAACCACCACATTCATGAATGGAAATGTTTAAGGGAATATTAACAGACTACGGACCATTAGATACCCTTTTAATATTTTGATTATGGGTCCTCTAAAGGAATTAGATCATTGAAGTAGTAACTGTGTTTGTTCAAGTTCATTGGTAATGCCTTCAGGGCACCTACTGCGCCCAAAGCTTATTATGGAGGTGGGTGGCGTGTTTCTCGTCCAGTGTTTTATGCCATGATATAATAGTATCCTGAATTTGAGGACCTATACTTCGTTGAAAAATTGAGAGCCTTCTTGTTACAGAAGCGTATGCCTTGTCACCGGTCTACGTTTTACAAACGATGTAAACGCATTTATAAAGCCATTTTGGAAGAGTTCGAGAGGTGTATAAACCAATAAACCAATTTGTTTCCGGAACTTGTACAATGGAAAATGCTCAGATGTTACTGAAGAATGTGCGGACGTAGTTGAAGCAGTTAATCGCAACCTCATTTCCACTGCAGTGAAACTTAAATAATTAATTATCAATGGCAACCAAGCCAACATTCAGAACTGAATTATTTCCCTACCATGAGAAAAAAATTGACAAGGCAGCGGGCAGAGAAAGCAAGAATTCCAACAAGGAGAGTGTTTTCTATGTTCATTTTACTCCCTACTTAACCTGCCTTGCTATGGCTTTCATTGTATGTCCTTTTTCTATAAAGTATTTAAAATATCAACTTCATGCTGTCATGTGTAGAATTTCTGTTTGTGATTACCGTGTTGGCTAGGGCAGAATGTGCCGTTAGTTTGGGGTGGTAACTTATGGAAGTCTCCTCAACGCTTCGTATGGAAGGTCAGTGTAGGTGTGGTAGCTGTCTCATTATATTTAAAGAGATTCGGGTATACAAAGTGTCGTGAAGGAGACTAATGGTGCATTCGATAGGCCGGAAAAGTCACCAGATGGTAAGAGGTCAGCCAGTAACCGACCAAATTTAGAGGTTGAGTTGGAGGCCTTCACTTTAGCTGGAAGTATGCTTCACAACTGAGAGAATTTGACGGCAAATAAGTTTGCGCGCGGGC